CCCCAAAACCCCAAAACCCCAAAACCCCAAAACCCCAAAACCCCGTATTTTATAAAAAATATAGAGGCAAGATTATAACAAAATGGAAAGAAACAAGCAGGAGCGTAAACATACGTTTAAGCCCTCTAAATATGCAGATGTAAGTGGGAGTCGTGGGCAATTTTGTACGGGATTTTTGAGAGCAATGGACAAGTGGCCACAGGACTAGTGACTCAAAAGGGAGGCAAGGAGTTTTAGAGAGTCTAAAGGGGTTAGAGGTGATGCTGGGTGATGAAGGGAATTGGGTCATTTTGGTCAGCTTAGGTGAAATTTGGTGTCTGAGATGTGGAAATGAGTATTTTGAACACTTTTTTGAATATTTTTAGATAATAAGGTTTGATTTTCTCTTATTAAGATATACATTAACTCTAATGTAGCAAATCACCGAAGCTGAGGATCTCTTCTCAGATTATATCAATCACTCAAAAATAAAAATCAATGCTTGATTAGAAGATTTTATGTAATCTACTAAATCAGGTTGGTGATGTCACAAACTCCTTTGAAATTTTAGATACTTTCATATTTTCTTTTTCGAGATAGTTATTTAAATTTGCAATACATACACTGTGACAATGTACCACATGAATTATAAGTTGATGCAAAATAAGTTTAGTCCGATTTGATATTAGGCTCAACTTGTTGATCAAAAATCTTGCAATAGTTTATTGCAGAACTTTTAGAGAGTATAATTTTAAACTTAACTTATTGGCATTATCGGATTAGGGCTCAAATCTGGGTTACTAAAGTATCTAAGACCTCGATTTTGATAACACAGAGCTTTTAGATAATTATTTTATGATATACCACAATTAGTTCTACTTTAGATTATCGACTTGTTCATATGAATCATTAGAAAAACCCGAAACTGTGCTTCTTCACTTCCAGTCACAAAATAGCCCAAGCTGACTAAATCTGAAATCTCAAGGCCTGGTCTAGCCAAATTCTCAAAAATAGACCCAAGAACCTAACTTTTGGTATAGAGATGGGGGTCGAAGGAATACAATGAGGATCATAAAGACCACCAGGAGAAGAGGGAAGCTAGGAAGAGGTGGAGGGATTCACATAGGAGAGAGTCCTCCTGGGTCACCCCTCTCGAAGCACTCGTTTCATTGTCCCCAAGAATGAAGGTTTCTAGAAGATGCCTTTTCGCATTTAATGTAAGAAATTAGGTTGAGTTGTATAGGTTGAAGACAAATATTCAAAAATCTTTGATGATTCTTCTGATGAAAAAGAACAAATGGAGCAAGATTTGGAAGAAGAGAAAGTTCCTTATTCACAAGAGCCAAATCTTGCCCCTCTATCGAAAGAGACTCTTCGTCTTCATGACCAGAAGCTCAAGGGGTTTCATAATAGTAGAAATTTTACTAGCAAGGATGAAAATAAGAAAAAGGAAGGTTCTGAGGATTCTTTCACCTCCATTAGTACAGATATCCAAAATGCGATTCATTATGATCTGCTTGAGAATGAGATCTATCACACTTGCAATTACTCCAGAGATTCAGGATCAATTTCATGATATAGAGAAAAGATATCATTTACTACAGAATCTGGCAGCAATACTGAGCAGGTTCTGATAAAGAATCAAGAGCATATGTATGGAGCAGCTGAGCTAAATTCCACAATAACTTCGCATCAAAGTAATGACGAAAACTCTTCAAATCAGTACAGCCAATACCATCAGTCTCCTTGTGTCCCGAGGATGCATCAGGAAGGACAGATGCCATACCCTCATAACACATTCATCCTGAACAAATATCTTGGCTATGACTCTTCTTTCTATAGAGAGAATAGCGTCTCTAGTAATAAGAGTAGGAGTAGTATCAGTAGTAGCAGCACTCAGAAAAGTACTAATAGAAAGTACATCCACAAGCGCCATGATAGTGACCTGAGCTACCTGATCCAGAATGCCTACGCAATGAGCAGAGACAAGAAGATGTGCATGAAACTACAGACAAGAGTCGAGGAGGAGAAAAACAACAATGAGTTTATTAACGAGCTTTTTAAAAGACTCATACCAGTATTTTCGGAAATCATGATGGATCCTTATGCTAATTATTTCTGCCAGAAATTACTCACACTTGCTGATGAATGGCATATCAACAGAATTTTGGAACAGATCAAGACTAAATTTGCTGACATTTGAAACAATACTCATGGGACTAGGGCTGCCCAGAACTTAGTTCAGCAAATGGAATTGACTAAGGACAGAATCCGTCTTATTAGGAAAGCTCTCAAATAACAAAATTGTGGATCTTGCCATAAATCAGCATGGCAACCATGTAATTAATATCTGCTTAGCTCGCTTTCCTCAAAGTGAGCTTGATTTCATAGTCAGGGCTTTTGTAAACAATTGTAGAGAGATTTCTTCTCATAAGCACGGCTGAATGGTCATGCAAAAATGTCTCATGAATTGCTCAAGTACCCAAAGAAAGAAGCTTAGCACTCAGATAGTACAAGACTCGCTTGCTTTGTCCAAAGACCAATTTGGAAACTACATTGTACAGAATATAATCCAAATGAATGACTTTGACCAAAATCAGGAGATGCTCAAGATTTTCACCCCTCATTTGATCATTTTGTGTTCCCAAAAGTTCTCGTCCAACGTCATCGAAAAGGTAAGTAAACCGACCTCAAATCTAGTGCATTGAAAACTTCGATGATATCACCAGAAACATGCTATATGAACAACTTGAAAGACACCATGTAATGAAATAAGATTGTTTTGGACAACTTTGGCAATTACATAATTCAAAAAGCTTTGAAAACAGCTAACAAGAAGAAAGATCCAGCTTTCAGCAGACTTTTGGGACTTGTTCTAGAGAATATTAGGTACTTGGATCAGAAAGATTATGGGAGAAAATTAATCAAGAAGCTGTGCAATACCTACCCTGAAGTCAAGAAGTTTATCAACAAGTATAGAAGAAAGCAGCATGACCACTTCAAGAAAATCAAAAAGCTTAAATAAGCTTAGATAAACATAGGGCTTTGGAAAACTGGAGTAGACTCTATTCATACAACTTAGGCCAGGAGTGCTGTCAAGCAAGAGATTTCTTGGCTAACTAAAGTATCGGAGCCTCCTAAGACTTATTTTGGGAGGCTCTTTTCTCTACTCGCCTTTGTTTTCCAACGTCTAATCTATAAAATGGATTACTTTATTTCACAATCTACGATTATTTCTTTTCGTAGGTTCAACTAAAGTGAGCATCTAAGGGGTTTTGGGGTTTTGGGGTTTTGGGGTTTTGGGGTTTTGGGGTTTTGGGG